TTTCCCCATCCATCTCCCCTGGATGGCGATCAAAACATGCCATTGGCCATTTAGTTAAAAAATAAAGGGGAAACAATGCCGTATGCATGCGCATGTGCACCGGTTACTTTAAGTACAATGAAGGAACAGGGAAGGGGAAATGAAAGAAGAGAGAAAACAGTACTCTAGTCGACAAGATGTCGTGGGACCAAATTATGGTTTTCTAATTGAGAATGGGTTCTTGGGCAGCAGAAATCGAGTTCAGGAGGAAAGGAGCAGGCACCCCTTTAGACTACGCCTCCTGCCTGCTGCAGGAACACGTCGACGGTACCTTCATCGGCCACATCTTTTCATTGACTAAGCTGTCCATCAAATCAGAATCTGAGTGGCCTCACTGACAAACTGTCATTTACAAACGACTTCCATTAGTTTACTAAGTGACGTCAATGCCTCTTCACTTTAAACTGCACCACCACCTTCCTGCCCTGCCACCTTCAAATGAATGGGATCCTTGTTCTCAGTCTTGACTGCTTCCTGAGGTTGTCAGTGTTCTTGGAAAGCCGCTTCGCCACAGAAGTATCACGTCCGCACTGAACAAGCACACAACACAAGCAGCACCAGAAGCGGTCCAGGCATTATTTTTAACATACTTTTCTGACTCTAGTAAATATTTCTATTTTAACATATACTTTAAGTTTTCTCAGGTATGCATTTTTCATGTCACTGCTGCTGCCATCGTGAGGTGTCACAAATTAAGTTATATCTCATCTTGTTCAACATGTTAAATTTATGTTCTATCTAAGATTCCATATTTAGAGTGAACTACAACTTTTGGTCTTCTGTCATTGAATACTTTGATTCCATTTTAAACAATTTTATGAAGAATGTCATGTACACAACTTTTTTTCATGTTTTGGGGATTCTTTCCAGGTAAAATTCCCAAAGTGGATAATGGAGGCAGAGGATGTGATAACTGTGGCTTGTAAAGACATCTCAACCATCCCATAAACATGCAGGCCACCTTAACTTCACCTGTGCTTGCTGGTGGCTGCGAGAACAATTCCAATTATGTCATCCCTTTATAAAATTTAAAGCTATAAATATAAGGAATGGGGGAATACTAGAATTCTGAATTCCTGCTATATCCAATAGTTCCCTGGGTGATACAAAGAATTTGCATCCAACCACAAACAGAACGTTTGGTGGTTGGAACCTGTGGCAGCAATTTCTTTTAGAAGAATCAATTCCAGACTAGTTCCAAGGAGTTGGAGACTAAAGATGTACCAAATGTCCGACTTTTCCAAGATCCTCTTCTGCTCCATTTCTCCCCGCTTTCCTCCCTCGATTGTATTCCCTCTTCTCCCTAGATTCTGAGTTTTCAAAGTCACACAGAAACTCACAAAACTTTGAGGAAGTGTCCCATGTGGTGTTGGGCGCTGTCAATCCCAGATCCAAAGATCAGGCAGAGGCAAGCCAAATACAAGGTCCAGAGCCAGAAGCCCAAAATGTACAAAGTCAAAGTAGGTCTTCTTGTTTTTGCCAAAGCTCAGTCAGGAGATGACTCTCCAGGTGAAGTAATGTATGTTAGAACTATGTGATGGTACCAATAGAGATCAAAGGGTAGGACTTTATATCACACTGTCTACTAAGGTAGAGTTAAAGATGCACCCAAGGAAATAAAGGGTGGGGCTTGGCTCACACCTTCTACTAAGGTCACGTCGTAATCCCACTATTCTGTCCAGTAAGGTGCATCTGATCCTAG